TTAGACTCCAATATTGATTTTTTGCCTACTCAATTATAATGTCTTTTACTTTTTCTTAATCATACATAAATATCCAATTTATTCTTTCTTTGATTAATGTTTTTCTTACCGACACTGATAGCCTAGCAGAGAATTATAATGCAACTTTAACGTCACCATTAAAGATGATCCATTCACCAAACGATTTTGATGTGCCTTTCTGTAAAGGACGCGGTATTCTGTTCTCAATTTATTTTATATTGTATTATACTACAACATAATACAAACAGTGTTGCTACATACCACTAAAAAGGGATCACTAAGCCAGTTCTAATGAGTTGGCATTGCTGAAAATTAAAAAAAAAAAAAACAAAGAGTAAAACATCACATCAATTGAGGCTACAGTATTTTTAGAGCTATTAGAGCTCATTATTTTAGAGCTCTTAAACAATTTTCTAATACAAATTGAAGGAATATGATTATATTATAAAGGTGTTTGGGAAGGGCTTTTTTGGGTTAAAATTTACAAAATAGGCTAAAATAGCCTATAAGACAAAATGTCACATCAAACCTATAATCACTTCACTTTTTCTCTCACAAACATCACATCCAACTACAAAAAAATTCAACTATCTTTCCAAACACAAAAATTTTAACCTACTAAAATAGTCAAAAACTAAAATAACATACTAAAATAGCAACTTTTTAAACACCCACTACATAAGTTAGGGAAATGATAATGACACATTAAAATGTCGGTGCCATGTACATTTGTGAGAAATATATTGTGTATAGAATTAAGGAAGATTGTATTGTGCATAGAATTAGAAAAGATCGTGCTGTAACTATTTAGTTGTATTTTCTTTTTCGTATTTTTCTTTTTCACTCATAGGTTTAGGGTTATATAAACGGGTGACCTTGTAAAGATATACAATTGAATATACAGAAAACCTACATGGTATCAGAGCCAAAACCTTAGAAATTGTTGCTCTCTCTAAGTCGTGAGTTGTGGGTGATCTTCTTCCCTAACTGCGATATTGAAACAGGTTCTTGACTGATCTCTCTCTGGTTCGTATTACGACATCGTCTTTGCTGATTGGAGTCGAGTCGTCTAATCTTCCTAGTCACGATCGTGTTCGCTTGAACTCACTAGTTCGAACCTTGGTTCACGCAATAGAAGTAGTGCTGATTTGCCTCACTCGGTCGATCTCTGCTTTGCCTTGCTCTGTTTATACCTATCTGTCTCTCTGAGTTCGTGGCTTTGACTCTCTCAGTATTGTTATTTGGGTCAAAACTCTTATTTATAGTTTAGCCCAATAGTTAGTCATTATTATATTTTCACATGTGAATCTTTGATTTATTATGGCCTTGTTTGGAAAGTTGGCTATTTTAGTAGGCTATTTTAATTTTTGGCTATTTCAGTAGGCTAAAAATTTTGTGTTTGGAAAGATTGTTGAATTTTTTTAGTTGGATGTGATGTTTGTAAGAGAAAAAGTAAAATGATTATGGGTTTGATGTGACATTTTGTCTTATTAGCTATTTTAGCATATTTTGTCTTTTTATAAATTTTAGCCTAAAATAGGCCTTGCCAAACAAGGCCTATAATGATAGACACCAAAATCCAAACAATCAGATGTAAACTTACTGGTGCCAATTATGCTTAATGGTCTAGTGTCATGAAGAATTTCTTTCTTGGTAAGAAAAAATGAAGCTATGTTTCTGGTTCTGTTCCTCATCCATTGGATCCGAAACAAAAAAGATATTTAACTTCTTGTGACACTTGGGATTGTGATAATACCCAAGTTCTGACCTGGTTTCATAATTATATGGATGACCATATTAGAATGATGTTTTCCAAATATGGTACTACCAAAGAGGTGTGGGACTATTTATTGGGTGCGTATCAATAGTCCAACTTTGCCGAGCGATATGAGTTAGAAATAGCTATTCAAAGTGCTCGTCAATAGGATCAATCTATTCAGGACTTCTGCATAGAGATGATAGGCCTTTGGGATCAGTTGGCTCTCATGGAACCATCTAGCCTTAAGGCACTAGACGCTTATGTTGAGTTTCGGGAACCAAGGTCGTTTAGTGCAGTTCTTAACGGCTTTCTCCATTCAGTATGAGGCTATCGTTGCGACATACTCCATTGGTCTCCTCTCCCTCCTACGGATGCTATTTTTCATGAGCTTCTCTCCGAAGAAACCCGTCTTAAGACAACCATTCAGACTCTATCTCCATTTGTTTTCTCGGCTCCTACTTAACCTCCTCTACTATCGAACCTCTCATTTCATCAGCTTCAGGCCACTACAAAGACCAAGAAGGAGCCCCTACCATCAGATGAGTGTGCTTTCTGCCATCAGAAGGGTCATTGGAAGTACAATTGTCCCAAGAAAGGACGCCTGCCTTCTCAGCAGTCTCAGTCCTGAGCACCAGCTCAGTGTTCTTTCCGGCCTCCCGCCACTTATACTACATCCCTTCCGGCTCTAAGTCCTGATTTGGCTTCCTTGAGTTCTCAGGCTGCTCAGCTTCAGCAGATCTTGTCTACCTCTCAGTCATTTTTATCTGTCTCCGCTCTCACTTCTCTTTATGCAGGTTTGCTTGGGTCCTCTTTAGGTATCCCTTCCTCTGTCTAACTTTTTGATTCTAGTGTCTCTCATCATATAAATCCTCATCTTTCCTTACTCTAAAACTGTATCCCCTCTCCCTTCCCTATTACTATTAATACTACTAATGGGTCTGGTATGTCTGTCATATTTGTTGGGTCTGTTTTATCCTCTATCATGTCCGCTATTACTATTCCCCCTGTTCTTTATGTTCCTCAACTGTCTATTAACTTGCTTTCTATCAGTCAGCTTGATACTTTTGGTTTTGACGTTATTTTTTCTTCTTCTGTCTGTTGTGTGCAGGATCAGGTGTCCAAGAAACAGATTGGGATCGGCCGTAAAGTTGGAGATCTCTATGTGGTAGAAAGTCTGCATCTTTCTCTGACTACCTCCCTCATTATACTTTCATCTTTTCAGTTAGATTCTTAGTCAAGTCAGTTTTATTTATGGCATTCTCACTTAGGTTATTTGTCTGTTAACCGTTTGCGGTCTTTAGCTCAGTCAGGATTGTTAGGTAAGGTTTCTCCTAGTCAAATTAATGAATGTCGAGGATGTAAACTTGCTAAAATAATAGTTTTACCTTTTAATAACAGTACTTCTATTTATGTTTCCCTTTTTCCTTTTGTTCATATTGATGTCTGGAGACCTTCTCCTGTTCTCACTAAAGGAGGTTCTGCATACTATGTATCATTTGTTGATGATTGTACCCGCTATACCTGGGTTTATCTTATGGCTCATAAATTTGACTTCTACCAGATGTATCGTACCTTTCAGTCTATGATCACTACACAGTTTGGGGCCACAATTAAAATACTTCGTTTTGACTTGGGTGAAGAATACTTTAAAACTAAATTTTGTGAGTATTTGTCCAAATTGGGCACCATTAACCAAACCTCTTGTACTGATTCCCTTGCCCAAAATAATCATGCTGAGCGTACACACTGTCATCTCCTTGAGACAACTCGATCTCTCCTTCTCTCTGCCTCTGTTCCGGCACCATTCTGAGGTGAGGCAGTTCTTACCGCTCTTTTCCTTCTTAATCGCATGCCTACTCCTCTACTCTCTAATCAATCCCCTTATCAGGCTCTGTATTCGCAATCTCTCAATTATTCCCTCTTGCGTGTCTTTGGGTCTGCTTGTTTTGTCTTTATTTCCCGTAAAGATCAGACCAAATTCAGTGCCCGGTTTGTCTTGTGTGTCTTTTTGGGCTACAGTCTTACTCAGAAAGGCTACCGATGTTACGATCATGTCTCTCTTCACCTCTATGTCTCCCGTATGTTGCTTTTCTCGAACGTTTGTCTTACTTTTAGTTTTCCCTTCTTACTGCTCCCGTTTCCAAAGAAGATTTGGTTCACATTGACCCATTTCCTTCTGAGGTCTCATCAGATGAGTATATCGCCACTATTCCTCCTAAGGCCCTTCATATTTCTTCGTCTACGTCACCTATGGCTCCTTATTCGCCTTTTGCTGCTTCTTCCCCTCTGTTGTTGGTCTATTCTCATCGCAAGGCTCCCGTACCTCCAGTTGTCTCTACTTTTGTTGCTGTTTTTTCTGTTTCTGACGACTCTGATCCTACTGTACACCGCTATCCTCCTCATGAACGTCGTCCTCCAAACAGGTTGGATTGGTCTCATATATGTTTTTTTGCTTCTTATCGTATTTTTTTGTTTGCTATTCACTATTTTTCAGATCCTCAGTCTTACATTGAGGCCTGTCAGGATCCTCATTGGGTTCAAGGTATGGAGGATGAGTTGTCTGCTTTGCAGAAAACTAGTACTTGGGAGTTGGTTCCTTTGCCTACTGGTAAGAATCTGGTTGGTTGCAAATGGGTCTACAAAGTCAAGACTCATTCTGATGGTTCTCTTGAGTGCTACAAAGCTCGTCTGGTTGCCAAAGGTTTCTCACAGAAATGTGGTATTGATTATGAGGAGACCTTCGCTCTTGTTGCAAAGATAATTACTGTCCATACTTTGATCTCTATCGTTGCTATTCGTTCTTGGCCTCTTTATCAGATGGATGTTAAGAATGCTTTTCTTAATGGCCATCTTACTGAGGAGGTTTACATGCATCCTCCCCTGGCCTTCACGATTCCTCTGGACATGTTTGTCGCCTTTGGTGTGCTCTGTATGGTTTGAAGCAGCCTTCTCGTGCTTGGTATGATTGCTTTCAGACTGTTGTTACTGAGATTGGGTTTCATCCTTGTGCCTAGGACTCTGCTTTATTTCTTCTCCACACCTCAGCCGAATTTGTTGCCTTATTACTGTATGTGGATGATATGATTATCACTAGTTCTGACTCTTCTGCTATCTCTGAGGTCTAGTAACATCTCTTCCGTACCTTTGAGATGAAGGATCTTGGTCCTTTGTGGTTTTTTCTTGGTATTGAAGTTACTTCTTCTCCAAAAAGCTATTTTCTGTCTCAGGCTAAGTATGCTCATGAGTTCATTCACCGTGTTGGTCTTACTGATACTAAGGTTTCTGATACACCTACTGAGCTTAATATGAAGCTCAACTCTACTTATGGTGTCCCACTGGATAATCTCACTTTATATTGCAAGCTTGTGGGTTGCTTAGTTTATCTGACGGTTACTCGTCCTGATCTTGCCTATGTTGTGCATGTGGTTAGCCAATTTGTTTCTGCTCCTAACTGTCCACATTGCGTTGCATTGGTTCGGATTCTTCGTTATCTTCGAGGTACTATCTTTCAGGGTTTACTATTATCCTCTACTTCCTTTCTTTGTCATAGATTTGGTGGCCTTAGTGCTGTGTCTAATTGGGTTTGGGATGTAGTAGTTACACGTAACATAGGAGCGCTGAAAGTACACCACGTCGGTTTCTGTAGTTGGTTTCGTTGTGGGCGATCCTTGATCTATTTGGGAAAAAGTACAAAACTCTCTCAATACTGTTGTTAGCTTGCTTTACTACCAGAAGTGAGTACTCATGGGCTATGGCTACATGCTAGTAGCGATGAGAGCATTGTTTGGCTTCGTAGTCTCGTTATCTGAGTTTAGTCGTGTCTCTTAGTACGTGTCTATCGACTTCACTCTAAGTTGTGACACAACTGTAGTGCTATTTAGATTGCCCACAATATTGTCTCTCCATATAACGAAAGTACGGAAACACATTAGAGATTGAAATTGTTCAACTACATACGTAATATTGTCTCGAACAACATCTGCAGTTTGTCTCTATCTCTATGTTGGCTTTTCTTGAGGCTTGTTCGAATGATATTTTGTGTGAATGTGAGCTGTGCTCCAGCAAGGATACGAATCGTCCTTATACGCGAAGTTGTAATAATTGCCAACGCAATTATCAAGAACTCGAAGTAATGTGTTTTAAGTTCCTTTTCAGCCTCAATGAAGAGGACTTTTCAATCACTGGTGGCATGTGACTCAGAGAGAAAGACTTAAGTGAGAGAGTATAGCAGGTATAGTAAGAGAGAGCAATTGAAGTATTCATAAAAAGGAACAACTTTACAAATGGCCGGAACTTCAGCTCTGCGAGGAGGTTATTACAGACATAGCAATCTACTTGAATCTACTTGAAAGGCTCACATTTATATATGAATTCGAAGTGCGATGGATGCGAC